GGGGGTGTTCGCATGCGGTTCCCCCACCCAGGGCAGCGTTTCGTGGCCCCATAGGGAGCTCCACCGAAGGCCCCAGTGGGGGTGTTCGCATGCGGTTCCCCCACCCAGGGCAGCGTTTCGTAGCCCCATAGGGAGCTCCACCGAAGGCCCCAGTGGGGGTGTTCGCATGCGGTTCCCCCACCCAGGGCAGCGTTTCGTGGCCCCATAGGGAGCTCCACCGAAGGCCCCAGTGGGGGTGTTCGCATGCGGTTCCCCCACCCAGGGCAGCGTTTCGTAGCCCCATAGGGAGCTCCACCGAAGGCCCCAGTGGGGGTGTTCGCATGCGGTTCCCCCACCCAGGGCAGCGTTTCGTGGCCCCATAGGGAGCTCCACCGAAGGCCCCAGTGGGGGTGTTCGCATGCGGTTCCCCCACCCAGGGCAGCGTTTCGTGGCCCCATAGGGAGCTCCACCGAAGGCCCCAGTGGGGGTGTTCGCATGCGGTTCCCCCACCCAGGGCAGCGTTTCGTAGCCCCATAGGGAGCTCCACCGAAGGCCCCAGTGGGGGTGTTCGCATGCGGTTCCCCCACTATGGGAGCTCCACCGAAGGCCCCAGTGGGGGGTTCGCATGCGGTTCCCCCACCCAGGGCAGCGTTTCGTAGCCCCATAGGGAGCTCCACCGAAGGCCCCAGTGGGGGTGTTCGCATGCGGTTCCCCCACCCAGGGCAGCGTTTCGTGGCCCCATAGGGAGCTCCACCGAAGGCCCCAGTGGGGGTGTTCGCATGCGGTTCCCCCACCCAGGGCAGCGCTTCGTGGCCCCATAGGGAGCTCCACCGAAGGCCCCAGTGGCTGCTCTCGCATGCGGTTCCCCCACCCAGGGCAGCGTTTCGTGGCCCCATAGGGAGCTCCACCGGAGGCCCCAGTGGCTGCTCTCGCATGCGGTTCCCCCACCCAGGGCAGCGCTTCGTGGCCCCATGGGGAGCTCCACCGAAAGCCCCCGTGGCGCAGTTCGCATGCGCTTCCCCCACCCAGGGCAGCGTTTCGTGGCACCATAGGGAGCTCCACCGAAGGCCCCAGTGGCGCAGTTCGCATGCGGTTCCCCCACCCAGGGCAGCGTTTCGTAGCCCCATAGGGAGCTCCACCGAAGGCCCGCCCCGGTGGCGCAGTCCGCATGCGGTTCCCCCATCCAAGGCAGCGCTTCGTGGCCCCATATGGAGCCCCACCGAAAGCGGCACCCACAACGCGTTACCAACAATTGCTTATGGTTGGGTCTTTCGCCAGGATAATTTTTTAACCATGGTAGTTTTTGTGACAAGGTGGAGCATCAGGAAAGACACAACGTTTTTCACCATGGTAGTCTCTGGGAAAAGCTGAGGAAAGCAAGAGCACATAGCGTTTTTCACCAGGGTAGTCTCTGGGAAAAGCTGGAACAGCTGGAAGCGCTGGAAAACATAGCGTTTTTCACAAGGGTAGTCTCTGGGAAAAGCTGGAAAGTGGAAAAGCTGGGAACACACACGCATGATTTTGTCAATGTTCTGTCTTTGTACAAGTTGGAAAATCTAGAAGAACGCTTTCACGAGGGTTGTCTCTGGGAAGAGAGAGGAATACATTGCTCATGACAATATTCGTTGTATGGTGGGGGGTCGTCCGCCCGCTTCTGGTGCGATTCGGGCATCAGCATCATTCCTAATGAAAGCCAATACAAACGGATTCCGATTGAAAACCTTGACAAAAGGATTCCTATTGAAAGCCTTTACAAAAGGATTCCCATTTGAAAGCCTTTACACAAGGATTCCGATAGAAAGCCTCTATTGGAGGTTTCCTATTCAAAGGCAAAGCAAAAGTGATTCGTATGGAAAGCCAATAAGAAAGGACTCCGATTGAAAGCCAATCACAAGGAATTCCAATGAAAGCCAAGACAAAAGGAGGCTTAGTGGAGGCCAATGCAAAAGGATTCCTATTGAAAGCTCTACACAAGGATTCCTTTCGAAACCTGTACAAAAAACATTCCGATTGAAAGGCTCTGCAAATGGATCTATTGAAAGACAATACAGACGGATCCTATTGAAAGCCAATACACAAGGCATGCGAATGACAACTAACACAAAAGGACTCCTATTGAAAGCCGCCGCACAAGGATTCCGACTGAAAGCCTCTACACAAGGATTCCTATTGAAAGCCTGTACAACAGGACCCCTAACGAAAGCCAATGCAAAAAGGATTCTTTTTGGAGACCAAAACAACAGGATTCGTATTTAACGCCAGTGCCAAAGGCTCCCTATATTGAAAGGAAATACAAAAGGGGTGGGGGGTCGTCCGCCCTCTTCTGGTGCAATTCGGGCATCATTCCTATTGAACGCCTATACAAGCGGATTCCGATTGAAAGCCTTGACAAAAGGATTCCGATTGAAAGCCTTTACAAAAGGATTCCCATTTGAAAGCCTTTTACACAAGGATTTCTATTGAAAGCCTCTACAGGAGGATTCCGATTGAAAGCCGACACAAAAGGGATTCGTATTGAAAGCCAATAACAGAGGATTTCTATTGAAAGCCTCTACAAAAGATTCCGGTTGAACGCCGATGCAACATGGATTCGTATTGAAAGCCAATACATAATGATACCGGAGAAACAACCCAATCAGATTTTTGTTAGGGCTATTGGGCTATAGGGCTATACGGCTATCGGGCTATCGGTCTATAGGGCTATAGGACTGTGACCTATAGGGCCATAGGGCTAGAGGGCTATGGGGCTATAGAGCTATATGAGCTATGGGGCTATAGGGATATAAGGCTATTAGGGCTATTAGGGCTATAGGGATATAAGGCTATAGGGCTACAGGGCTATAGGGCTATACGGCTATAAGGCTATAGGACTATAGGGCTACTGAGCTATTTATTTTGCTATTGGGCACCCCCGGGCACCCGGGCACCCCCGGGCACCCGGGCACCCCCTGGCACCCCGGGCACCCGGGCACCCGGGCCCGGCCACCGAAATCGGCCACCCGGGCACCCCCGGGCACCCGGGCACCCGGCCCCGGCCACCGAAATCGGCCGCCCACCTCACCTCAGCTTTATATCCGCTAGGACCCCTACAGAAGCAAGCTCTGATTGGGGAAGGACTCCTATTGAAAGCCAATACACAAGGAATTCCAATGTAAGCCAATACAAAAGGAGTCCTGGTGAAGGCCAATGCAAAAGGATTTCGATTGAAAGCTCTACGCAAGGATTCCTATTGAAAGCCTGTACAAAAGGATTCCTATGGAAAGCCTCTGCAAAAGGTTTCATATTGAAAGCCAATACAGACGGATCCGATTGACAGCCAATACAAAAGGAATGCGACTGAAAACAAATACAAAAGGATTCCTATTGAATGCCTACATCCCCCTCCTCCTCTTAGAGGAGGAGGAGAGGGATAAGGAGGAGGAGGAGCAGGAGGAGGAGGAAGAGGAGGAGGAGGAGGAGGAGGAGTGAGGAGGAACGAGGAGGATGAGGAGCAGGGAAATGAAAATAATGACGATGAGGAGGATGTCGCCCATGAGGGGGAGCAGGAACCATGCGGATGAACAGGAGCAGGAGGAAGAAGAGAAGGACACTGAGGGGGGAACCACCCCTCCTCCCCCTCACTCCGCCGATTGGGGGTGCTGGTGTGGGGGGGGGGCAAGTTATATATATATATATATATATATATATATATATAAACAGACAAATAGTTGTACGTGTGTGTATGTGTGTATAAATATATATCATATGAATACATATATAGAGAGAGAGATTCGGTAAACGAACATAGAGAGAGAGAGAGAGAGAAATAATTGAGCACCTACACATACGTCCGCTACCGTGCCCTCGAGGCACGAGTTGGAGTGTCTTCAGGTTCCTTGTTGAATCCCCTTGGGCCTCGGGCCTCACTCCGTAGGATTCTTTAGGCGGCCCAGAAAACCAAAATGGCCAAATCGCTCGGGGCTCCCCACGTCGCCCCTGGCGGCCCGGGGCGTCTTCTCACATGTTGTTCGGGTCCACGAGGGCCCCAAGACGGGCCAGGATGGCCCCCAGAGGCCTCCGAGACGGTCGCAGAGGGCCCTGAATCGCCGCACGATCGGTCCAGGATGGCCCCAGGACGGCCCAAGATGCTCCCGCGAAGCCCGGAGAGGCCTCCAAGAGAGGGCTCCCGAGAGGGCCCCCAGAAAGCAACGCTCCGCGATTTCATTCGAGCTCTGGGCCGGCTTTGCGCTCTCGCCGTTTCGGCTTCCCGCCGCTCCAGGACGGCCCACGAGGCCGCCGCGCTTGCCCCGAGGCGGCCCGGGAGAGGCCCCCCCAAAAGGGGGCCCCAGGCGGGCCCGCGGTGCGCGGCCGTGCCCTGCTGCCCGCCAGCTCCGCGCCCGGGCCTCCGCCCGAGGGCACGGCAGGCTCGCGTCGTGTCAGCAGGGGTCGGGGAGAACGCCTCGGCAGCTGGCCAGCGTGAAAGGGCGATGGCCACCGAGGTCGATGTCCCCCCCCCCCACAGGGCCATTGGCTTCTCCCCCCTGCTCCACTGTCACCAGCGCACCTGCTAGCCACCACGGCGCGGACACCCGTGGGCCGCGGTGCCCTCTTCCTGCCCTCGGGAGGCGGCAGACAGGGGAGGGCGGCGACCCCGCCGCGGTCGGGGGCGGCAAAGAGGGGGGTGATGACTAGGGGGGGGGGGGAATTGGCAGGGGCCATGGTATTTCCCCAGATTTCGTGGCGCTTCTTCTTATTTCATGACGTCCCTGGGCCCCCCCCCCCCCCGCCGGGTGGCGCACATGCCGCCGGCCATGATTTGCCCCCCCCGCTTGGAGACCCCCCTCTTGGCCGCTCCCGAGGCGGGCGTTCAAGGTTGAACGCCGCCAGTGGCCCAGAATCGGCCTACAGGGAACGATCGGGCGATCGGAAAGCTGCCGATCGTTCAAGGTTGAACGATCGACGCGGCGCCGGAAGCCAACGCCAGGGTCGTCACGACACGAACCTGCCGCACCCTACCCGACCGGCCCCCCGCCCCCGCGCAGGCCGACCGCAGCCTCGACCGGGTGCTGCGCTACCGAGCGGCCCTGATGGCGCCGCCCCGCCCCTGCGCCGCCCTTGCCTCGGCCGCCTGCCAGCCGGCGGAGAGGGCCCGGCAGCGCTGCGTGGGAGCCCTCCTTCGGCCGACCCTGGAATGCTCGAAGAAGAAGAAGAAGAATAAGAGGAATAATACAAATACTAATAATAAGAATAACATAATAATGTTTGGCAATACTACTGTTAATAAGAATAAGACGAATACTAGTACTCATAATATTGAGACGTAGTAAGAATAGTAAGAAGAAGAAGAAGACGAATTTCAATAAGCGAATAAGAATACTAATACTACTAATAATAGGAATGGTAATGCTAATCGTCATGATGATAATAGTAAAACTCGCTATGCACATAAACTTTCGACGCTCCGCGCGGTTTTCGTGCATCTGCGCTGGAGCGCCCTGGCGGCGCCTGTTGTGCCGCCCCTAGCGCGCTCCGCGCGACAGGGAGGGGGGTCCGGCGCAGATCCAAGAAATCCGCGCTGTCCGTCAAAAGTTTATATCTATGCCGTTCTTTGTTGCTCGGGTTTGCCGACTCTTTCTGGCGGCCCCGTCCTGAGTTTTGTCGGCCCAGTTGTCGTGGGATATTTCAGACTGTGTATCGCCATTTTTCCTGCCAGCCCCGTCAGGCCAACCTGAGTCCCTCGATGCCCGAGTCTTTCGCCTCCCCGAGAGTAACATGGAGAGTGAGTGCCACGCTTTTTTTTCTGGGGGGTGGGGGTCTGCTAAGGGGGAGGGCGGAGGAAGGCCCTCTCCTCCTCGTTCCCTTTCCCGAACCTCCATTGGCGGAGCAGGGCCCCAGTCACGACGGTGGCGCAGGATGGTGTCAAGCCTGCGTTCGCCAGAGAACGAGAAGTGGAGTGACCGCATCTGCCCTTGAAGAGTTTGACGTTCTTCATGGAGCACGTCATGGAGGAGGAGGAGGAGGAGGAGGAGGAGGAGGTTCGAAGAAGTTTCTCCCCACTCCAAGCCTCTGGTGGCCCCTTTCGCGCCCATGGGTAGCATCGATTTGGGTGGAAAGCCTGGATGGACCTTTGCAGGGGTCCCGGGACCCCTTTTGATTAGATTTTGAAGGGTGGAGGGAGGATGGAGAGGAGCGAGGAGGGCAGGAGATGGAAAAGGATTAGGGATGGAGGTTACGCAGGCGAGGAGGGGAGAGGAGGAAGGAGGACCGCTTACCGGTTCCCATGCAGCCTCGCTGCCTCGAAAGATGCGCCCCACCCCCTCCTCCCAAATTGACACATGAAATGGTTTGGCTGGGGTCGGAGAAGCTCGAGCCTCGAGTTTCCCGGCGTGAGCCTGATCGGCGCAGTTCTCGCAGGACGCTTGCAGCGGGAGGTCGCCTCGAGTCTTCGAGTAGGGGATCAAGTACAGAATTGATTTACCCCGAAATTGATTTTTCGCTGCATCTAGGAAGGATAAAGTGAGACGTTCGCGGACTGCTACGTATCCCTTCGGCGATTCGACGAAAGAGACAACCCTTTTGGGTAAGACAATTTTAGATTTCCCTATCTCCTAAGGATGGGGTTCTTGTTATTCCCCGTATTGGGGTTCTTGTCATTACTTCGACCGCGCGTAGAGTAAGAACACACCTCCCACCCTCAGGTCATCATTCTCTGACTCACTCACATGTAGACTCACTCATATTCAGACTCACTCATACTCAGATGCACTCGCTCTCAGATCCCTGATGCTCAGGCTTCTCATGCTCGGGACCACTCATTTGCAGACTCACTCACACCAAGACTCACTCATACTCTGCCTCGCTCTTCCTCACTCAGAAGCCGCCACACCACTTCCGCGCTCAGACTCAAACGCACGTTGTGAAGATGATTCCCACCCAGACTCACTCACACTCAGACTCACTCACACTAAGACTCACTCATACTCTGATTCGCTGTCTCCCACTCAGACTCAGTCACACCACTTCCGCGCTCACTCACACACGTTGTGAGGATGTCTCGGGCGAGGCGCTGGTTTCAGCACCCCCAAAGGGGGGCTCCAGGGGTCAGGACACTCCAGGATTCGCGCCCAGATTGTGGCGATGTCTCAGGCGGTTTGCTCGTTTCGGTGCCCAACATGTCTTGCTTTCGGAACCGTTCCTGAGGATGTCTCAGGCGAGGCGCTGGTTTCAGCACTCCCAAGGGGGGGCGGCAGGGGTCAGGACATTCCAGGATTCGCGCGTAGATTGTGGGGATGTCTCAGGCGGTTTGCCTGTTTCGGTGCCCGGCCTCTCTTGCTTTCGAATCCGTTTCGCAGGATGTCTCAGGCGGAACGCTGGTTTCAGCACTCCCAAGGGGGGGTGGCAGTGGTCAGGACATTCAAGGATTTGCGCCCAGATTGTGGGGATGTTTCAGGCGGTTTGCCTGTTACGGTGCACGGCCTCTCTTGCTTTCGGAGCCGTTTCGGAGGATGTCTGAGACGAGGCGCTGGCTTCAGCTTTCCCAAGTGGGGGGCGGCAGGGGTCAGGACACTGCAGGATTCGCGTGTAGATTGTGGGGATGTTTCAGGCGGTTTGCTCGTTTCGGTGCCCAACATGTCTTGCTTTCGAAGCCGTTCTGGAGGATGTGTCAGGCGAGGCGTTGGTTTCAGCATTCCCAAGTGGGGGGCGGCAGGGGTCAGGACACTCCAGGATTCGCGCGTAGATTGTGAGGATGTTTCAGGCGGTTTGCTCGTTTCGGTGCCCAACATGTCTTGCTTTCGGAGCCGTCTCGGAGGATGTGTCAGGCGAGGCGTTGGTTTCAGCATTCCCAAGTGGGTGGCAGCAGGGGTCAGGACATTCCAGGATTCGCGCGTAGATTGTGGGGATGACTCTGGCGGTTTGCCTGCCCGCCTAACGCCCACTACCTGACGACGACAGCCTCGCAGGGGCAGACGATACGCGGCGCTGTGACCATCGACTGCGCGCGCCAGGAGCCCCAGGGACAGCGTGGCACTGATGACGACGCATGGTGGCTGAACCTTAATGTCATGTTCTCCCGCGCCACCCGAATGGCGGACACGTTGCTGGTGCGGCCGCCGCCTCGCTGGCTGCTGGAAGGAGGTCCACCGAAGGCGGAAAGGAAGGTGTCAAACGCTTCCAGCACAACGAGAAATTGACGGTGGAGAGAGCAGTTGAGCTCGCCGCGAAGTACGGGATGATGCTGCCAGAGAACGAGGAGTGGCCGCTTTAGTTCTCTTTAACCCGATGCCAAATACGGACGGTCGTGCCCCGATCGGCTTTTCCGTTGCTGTTGCGCAAGCCGGCCTCGGCTGCCGCCCCGATGCCAAGTGCTGGCGGCAAGTGCCCTTTGGCCGCGGAAATGATCGCCTGTCTCATCGGCCCGATGCCCAGCGCGGACGGTCTCGATCGGCGGCAAGCCCTGGCGGATCCTGTCCATCAGTGGGCGAAAGGTACATGATCGTGGCCGCTAAGAAAAACAGGGAGCAGACAAAAGGATGTCTCAGGCGAGGCGCTGGTTTCGGCGCCCCGAGAATTCCAAAGTGCGAGGCAATCTCACGCTTCTTGCTAAATTCGCAGTCGGTTTCGTCTGCGTTTTGAGCACATGCTGAGGATGTCCCAGGCGAGGTGCTAGTGCCAGCGCCCCGAGGGTCCCAGATTACGAGGATGTCCGAACCGATCTGCCTGCTTCGGTGGGCAGATTCGTCTGTGCCCAGAAAAATTCGTAATGAGTTTTCAGGCGGAGCGCTGGCTCGAGCATCCCGCAGGGCTCAGGTTGCGAGGGGAGGTGGAGGAGGTGGAGGCGGAACAGAAGGTGGCGAAGGGGAACTCGTGACTGGGGAGGGATTGCGAAGATAATGGGGCAGGACTAGGACGAGAGGGTGGGAGGAGAAGGAGGAATAGGAGGAGGAGGAGAAGGATGGATGGGGAAAGAGTGAACGGGTTCTCGCCGCCGAACGGGCAACTCGGTTGGCCGAGGCCATGGGATCGTGGTTCGAGGCTCCTGATTCGAGCTTCGCTGCTGTAGGTTGTCCAGTGTTTTTGCATTGATCGAGTTTCCTGGGGATTCGTTGTTCGAGTTTCCTTGGCATTCTCGTTTTCGCGGGTGGATTCTCCCCACAGGTGTTCAGAGGAACAGGGGGAGAACGAGGAGGAGGGCAAGGAGGAAGAGGAGGAGGAAAGAAAGAGGAAACGCTTCGTCGAAGTCGTCGTAGTCGTCGGCGTCTCTCTCGGTTCCGTCTTCCGCATGGATTCGCTGACACTCAAATTTTGATCTGACATCGGAGGTTCGGGGGCGAAATCGCAGTGGAACGGATGCCCCCAACCGGGACATCGTTTCGTTTCGTTCGTGTCGTGCGTGCGGGCGAGGCGAAGCTGTGTGGGCGCGCGAGAGGAATGATCACGTTGCTGTTAGGGCGACGTCAAGACACATATTTTTCCTACGTCCGTCCGTCCGGCGGTGGCCCTAAAGGTGTCCCGCGGTGTCCCGTGGTGTCCCGTGGTGTCCGCCGCTGCTGGGGCGAAATCAAGACAAATAATTATCCTCCGTCCATCCATCCGGCGGTGGCTCGCGGTGTCCCGCGGTGTCCCGTGGTGTCCCGTGGTGCCGCGTGGTGTCCGCCGCTGCTAGGGCGAAGTCAAGATAAATAATTTTCCCCCGTCCGTCCGTCCGTCCGTCTGTCCGACAGTGGCTCGCGGTGTCCCGCGGTGTCCCGTGGCGTCCCGTGGTGTCCCGTTAAGTGAGATCGATAATGAGATCGATAATCATATCGATACTGAGACGATCGTGGGATCGATCGTGATAGCGATACTGAAATCGATGTGGTGCCCCAGCGTGTCCCGTGGTGTCCCAAAAAGTGAATATCGATAGTGACATCGATCGTGAGATCGACAGGTGTCCCGTGGTGTCCCGTGGTGTCCCGTTGAGTGAGATCGATCGTGATTTCGGTAGTGATATCGATACTGAGATCGATGAGGTGCCCCGGCGTGTCCCGTGGTGTCCCGTGGTGTGATATCGATTTTGAGATCGATGGTCGGATCGATCGTGAGATCGATG